TTGATTTGAATTTGGTTTGTTTTGGTTTTGATTTTGTAGTGTTTGGCGAAAGGGTATTTATTTGTTGATGCACAGATAGGCTGGTTGGGTATTCATTTTCAATGATCGGTTTGTGGTTGATAATATTTGTAAGTAAATTAGCCCTGAGGTGGCTTCTTAAGCTGTCAGTCATAATTTCGTCCTGTGATGTTTCTTTGAAGGGAAGAATTTGCTGCAGATGAAATGAATCTTTAAAGTGTGGTAATTTGTGAATGTGATACTTGCTGGAGGGCTAAAATTAGTTGTTTGTTTTACTATTGCTGTGTTACCATAGTGCTAGATTGAACTTCACAAAATCGTTAGGGTTTCTCTTTTTAAGTTTAAAGCCGAGAACATTTAGTGGACACGATTTTTTTTTAGCATGAAGCATTATATGGTGATGGTTTTGGCGACCTTTCTACTAACTAACAAATACGGTACATTATTATGAGCAAAGGTTTGCAAAATCTCAAACAGATTGCGCGAAAATAAAGTTAAGTTTTGGCTAGTCATTTCGAAAGGTTTTGGACCACCAGTCGGAAGACCTGGGGATCGAAGCAACGTTAAACGTTAAATTGATATATAATATAATAGATTGGCGCTTACAAATATGTTAGTGTTTGGCCGAGCTTCTCCTCCGATTTGTGGCGTGCGCCTTAATGTTGTCACACAAAGCGGAGGGACCTACAGTTTTACGCCGACTCCGAACGGCGATTGTATTTTTATGAGAAGCTGTTTTTCATGGCAGAAATACACTCGGAGGTTTGCCATTGCCTGCCGAGGGACGACCGCTGTTAAGAAAAAATTTTTTTCTATTTTTTTGCGATGTTACTTTGACCAGGCTTTGAACCCAGGCGTTGCGGAGTGGAAGCGCGCACTGCTTACCACTACACATATATAACAAGTTATAAGTCCGAGCCGTTCGCCACCAAACGGGGCTTCAGACAGGGCGACTGCCTTTCATGTGACTCCTTTAATCTGATATTGGAGAAGATGATAAGAGCTGCAGAACTGAACCGCTCAGGAACAATTTACTACAAGAGCGTGCAATTGCTGGCTTATGCCGATGACATCGATGTCATCGATATCAAAAACCGCGAAGTCTGTTCTGCCTTTTCCAAGTTGGATAAGAAAGCAAAGCGAATGGGTCTGGTGGTAAACGAGGACAAGACGAAGTATCTCCTGTCATCAAACAAACAGTCAGCACATTCGCGCCTTGGCACCCACGTCACTGTTGACAGTTACAATTTTGAGAAAGTAGAGAACTTCGTTTACTTGGGAACCAGAATTAACACCGATAATAATGTCAGCATGGAAATCCAACGCAGAATCACTCTTGCTAACAAGTGCTACTTTGGACTGAGTAGGCAATTCAGAAGTAAAGTCCTCTCTCAACGTACAAAAACCACCTCTGTAAGTCACTCATCATGCCCGTGCTGGTATATGACGCAGAAGCAGTGCGTGCTGGCGGTTAATATCTAATCAGATAGCTAGGCTGTAATCAGAGCTTTCATCTCTTTTTCGGTCGTATGTGAGTACATATTTCTTTGTTAAACTTATGTGGACGCCAGGTAAAATGCAGAAAACTGCTTGACTGATGAGCTGGTTCCACCAAATATAGAATAGAGACTGCCAGTATGCTTGACGACTGGGAGATTACTCTTGCCACTCGTATCAGCTCAGCGAAAGCTGGTCGAAAACCACTACTTTTTTGGCCGAGAGTTGACCACAGGCGGCCCAGAGATCTTCACAAAGTCAAAACTCTCAATTCTGGTGGATGTATTGCCAGGGCACTATCCAACTTGGACTGCTCGGAGGAGAACATCTGCTATAACTCAGCAGTTACCGTAAGTGTTGATATCGCAAGGGACCTTGGCTTATGGTCTTCTAAATGTGCCCCATGTCTTAGGGAATCCACTCTACCAAACTGTCCAATTTGGCAACTATCTACTTATTCACTGAAAATTCAGCAGAAAAAGCGGAATCCTGATTATCGAGCCGTTACTGTACTCAAACGTGTACGTAAAGCCGTCCTATCAATATTGGCTAAGAAGGTTGCCACCTATTTCAAAAATCTACATAAATAAAAATTTTAACTACAAATTTTCAGTGCTGTAAAAAATATGATAAAATCGAAGGTAGATTGAAGATCACAAAATCGATATTATTCTTCTCTGATTTTTTTCTATATATTTATTATGATCCTCTCTAAAATCCGATATCTTTCTTTATAGGCTATGGCTCGAATGCGTTAAGCAGCGTGGGCGTGAGTGTTGGAAAGTCGTCGCTCGATCCGCACTCACATCTCAGACAGCCAGGTAAGTCGAAATTCATATTGCGAATAATACTTTGTATTGATTTGCTGTGAAAGTATGACACGAATGAAGTTATTCAAAAATATTTAAACTACCCTCAGAGGCTGGTGAAAATCCCATATTAGGCATTGTTGCTCCAAATGAATGCGGGCTTTCGCATTGAAGCACTTGCGAGTGCCACTTAGAATGAGAAACAAAAACAAAAAACAGAAACAAATACTTTAAAAATGCTTTAAAAGCGATACAAAAACGAGTGAAATCCATTTGCGGCGCGTGTGTGTTTTCGTCTCAACGACTTACTGTGCGCGCCAAATCAAAGCGACATTGACACAGAGAAGTAACAACAACCCGAAGAAAAACAAAAAAATACGCACAGGACGACAACAACACTCCAGCGCATTCGTATCAAAAAACAAGTAAGAAAGTCTAAGTTCGGGCGGAGCCGAACATTAAATACCCGGCGCAATTATTAAATATATGTTTTCCACCTTTCCGAAAACTACCGCTACACGATAAGCCGGGGTGTATAAATTTTAAGTAAATTAGCGTCCTTAAATTTCGAAATATTGAAGTTTCAAGCATTACTGAAATATACCGTTATATGAAAAGCGGTCGTAATTTAGTCCGATTTCAATAATTTTCAACGCTTTGCTTTTATGTGGCAAGCACAATAATCATACCGAGTTTGGTTCAAATTGCTAGAACGGTTAGCGAGATACATATATGTGATCATAAGTGGGCGGTGCCACGCCCATTTTCCAAAATTGTATCATAAGCGTATTTCTTGGTAAAAAATTGTTGCAACCATCAATTTTGAATAAATTAGCTTTAATATTTACTGATTTATCGAGGATCTCGTATTTTTCTAAATTACCGTTATATGGGATGTGGGCGTGGTTATTGTCCGATTTTAAAAATTTTCGGCCATTAGGTATGTTGTAGCAGGATCAAGAACTGTGCCAAGTTTGGAAGAAATTGGTGCAGCGGTTACCAAGATATACGCATGTAACCATAAGTAGGCGTGGCTACGCCCATTTGCCAAAATTTTTTAATATTCTTATTTTTCGTCTAAAACTCATTGTAAATATCAATTTTGAGTGAATTATCTTCAGTAGTTACTAAAATATCGCACTTTTCGTATTTCTGAAAATTACCGTTATATGGGAGGTAGGCGTGGTTATTGTCCGATTTCGCCCATTTTCAATACCATCCGTCCCATGCCCAAAAGAAGTCCACGTACCAAGTTTCGTTAAGATATCTCAATTTTTACTCGAGTTATCGTGTGCACAGACGGACGGACGGACGGACGGACGGACGGACGGACGGACGGACGGACGGACAGACAGTCACCGCTTAATCGATTTCTCTCTTCATTCTGATCATTTATGTATACATTTGTCTATATCTATCTCGATTCGTTTTGCCTGTTACAAACAACCGTTATGTGAACAAAGTTATAATACCCTTGTGCACAAGTGCGCTCGGGTATAAAAAAGTAACTATTGTATGTAATAAATATGAGGAATGTGTGCAATTGTGCGCAAGGTAAAACACTTCACTTTAAAGTGTGCCCAAATACTCGAAGAGAAAATAACAAAGCAAAATAAAAAATAAAAAATCGAAACAGAAACAAAGCAACTCTATTTTGAGTGGGCTCTGCGAAAGGCTGGCGTGGCGTATTGAGGCTGCCTGCCGGTCTGACGGGGGGGGCTCTGACTGACTGGCATAGTGGCGAATCAAACCTAAATTCGCCACTTCACAACTTAATACTTGAAACACAAATAAAATGGAATGTGTTTGGCAAAAAAAAATTCACAATCCGCGATAGAGGGAGGGAAATGAAATAAAATAAAAGCGTCGAAAAAAAATCGAAATGAAACAATTGAAATGCCATAAAACGTTCTCAATTAGTGTTGAAGCTGTGGCTAAGCTGCTGAAAAAAAGGTGGCAAGTTGCTGAGCAAGCAAAGCGTGGCACACCAGGCTGGTACATGGAACTGGGGATGCTGGAAAACAATGCGTTGAAAGCGCAATGAAGTGAGAGATTGAGTAAATACAACACAGCAATAAGTAAGTTGATGAATGCTCAGCGTATGTGTGCTCGTTTGCGGTGACGGTGCTGTCAAAATTGACTGAAAATACATTTCGATTTCATGTTGCAAATATGAATGAGAAAAAAATGTATTTTCGTTGAAATGTTTTTGGAGACGTACGCGTGCCTAAGCTGCCAATATGACACACGCTTCAAAAAGGTAACAAGTCGCTTGGAAAGCACGATAGCCGCGACGCACAGTGTGATGGAAATGGGTAAAAATGGGCACTTCGTAGTCGAAAAAAGCGAAAAAGCTTACATAGGTATATATGTATATATATTATTTTCATGAAGGGAGAATAACGACAGACAAAAGTCAAACTACTGATAATTTTCGGAAAGATGGGCTTTATGCATGGAACTTTTGAGGTTCCAAACAACAGCCGAAAAGTTTTCATCACTAGAAATGTTACGCGGAGTTTAATTTCGTTAAAATAACGTTAAGATTACTTTGTACGAAAAATGTGTGGTGATAAAAATTTTAACCTAGCAGACTCCTAAAAAAAAAAAAAAAATATATTTAACTTCTTTTTGTTTGTAAGACTCACGATATCCGAGAAAACCCATTCAAAGAGTTGCCACGTACGGCAGGTACTGGGTTTGTAAAATTTTTAATCTTCTTATATTTTAAAAAGCGTGTGATGCCAAATGGTGCCAATTCAAACAAAAAATTTTTCAAAAGATAATTTTTATTTTTATTCATAACTTTTTTTTTTTTTGTAAGAAAAAAATTTGGTTCTAACTCTTTTCTTACCAGTCTAGGTTATTTTCGTATTTGCATTTTCCCCTTACATAGAAAAAGGTCTAAGTCACAGACACAGACTATAAAAACCATAAATCATAACTTGAGACCATAGTCCATAGGTTCTGGACTATAGCCCATAGATCATAGTCGACAGGGCATAGACCAGAGATCAGAAGTTATGAACAATGTTGGGCAGTGACTTTGATATGATTTGACACTCTATATTTTCTTCCTGTCTTTTCCGGTGGTTAGATATTCCACCAGGTCCTGTAATTACAAGAACTACCAGTATTGCGAATTAAAGACAGGTAATTCCTATCATCAACTTTTAGCCAAATGTGCTACCCTTCGTATATCATCGTATAGATGAAAATAATCTTGCAAGAAGCTAGAGGAATGCGTATTTCCTGGACAGAGTTCACCTTATATGGTTCTTCAGCAGTGGCGTTAACTGGCATGACCCTGCTTTTTTTTTATTTATACGCAGGTTGGAATATTCATCAAGTGACCCGCATGAAACTCCGATGAAGCCGCCTCCCCGGAACTGCTTTCGCATTTCATCAAAATACTGAATACTGGCATATAGAATGCATCACTCCATAATGCCATTTCCATATTTCCCCATCCATATTTATGATAAAGGATTCAGACTCTAAGTGCCAGTTAACCGCCTCCTTATCGCCATTGAGGTGATCAGACAGATGAGGGCTGAGGTTTGGTGTCAGATTGAAATGATCTCCACCGTTTACTCTATCTTTTATACTGGAGCCAGCAGTAAAACTTTAAGCGGACTCTGAATCTGGTTCTTGGCAACAATCAATTCGTTTCTCACTGGAATTCTTGTGAAAAATTTGCCATCAGAACGAAGAAAAAGAGTGGAATAATTTTAATTTTGCAGGCTTTCAGAAATAATGGCCAAAATATCAAATAATTTAAAAAATATAGATATAGATTGATGCACTTAGGAACGCTAGAAAAATGCAATATGAAGTGTCGCATGCAGGTGAGCCTATCTCAGAGGGCTCCTCAGAAGTTTTAATGAAATATAATCCGAGGTGTTTCAAATTTTACAGCCTTATTCTGTATCACGAACGATAGGCAACACGAACGATTCGTCAGCAAAGGATTGTTTCAAAATTTGTCCGGCGGCATCATTTTAGCCGGTTTAAACGCAACCGAGACCATTGCAACGTAATGTATGAAATGCAAGACGAAGACGACCGATAGAGTTTAAAATCGCAATCAGAGAGGTTGTCGTCTGTTGAGAAGAATGTAATTACCCATCGCCGCTACGACTGCGTTCGCTGAACCGACTGAAAGTCCGTCCGCCCAGAAATGAGCCGAAAGTTGTAAAAGGAACTCCCATGCTCTATCTTTTAGAAGGGATAGTCCAATTAGGGTTAGTTACAGGCCACCGAGAGAGAGATTACTTTTTTTGTCGGAACTCAGCACAACACAACGCGCGCAGAAAACAGCACTCAGACTACATGCCGTCCATTGCACGATTTACGAATAAACCTAAGCAGATTGTTGGGTGTCAAAGATGATCAGGTGTTCGTTTCTCAACGCATAGCGGTCAAATGCCTCATATCTAATTCTTGCAAAAGCCGGGAAAGAAGCACAAAAAGTGTTTCACCGTCTCATACACTTCATGACAGGATGGGAAAATGGGGTTGTCCTGTACGCCACAGTCAGGTGTGTGCGCCACGTGAAGTGACCAGTCAGCAGTCCAAAAAATTTTCTACGGTTCCGTCTGCTCAATGAGAGCAGAAACTAGATAGACTCCTGCAGCCTCTCGATGCCTCCCAGTCATAGATGGCCGAAGGTGGGAGTGCTATAACTGTTTGCGGACGGAGAAATGCCTGGTCTGAGCCAATTCTGGCCAAGTGGTCAGATGCCTCATTACCTGGTACTCTCAAGTGACCTGGCACTATGTTTATCAACATAATTTAGGCGAGACTTGTATTGCTGAACTAGTTTGAGAGTAGTTGGAGGGCTGGCCAATACCTTAAAAGCAGGCTTTTCCTCCACGTACCCCAGCTTGGAAGACCGAAGCATATTGCCCAAGGGAAAAGTGAAACTGAGATGACTTGTCGTGCCATTAACGGTCGTAAATCATAAATTACAGTTTCAAAGTTAATATTTGTCCTCAAAATAGGCATTACTT